TAGTGGTTCCTGGCCTGTTAACAACTGGGAAGCATAGCAGGAGGTGAGTGGCAGATGAGTGAGGCTTCATCTGTATTTACAACTGCTTCCCTTGCTTGCATTAGCACCTGAGCTCTGCTTCTATCAGATCAGCTGCGGCATTAGATTCTCATAGAAGTATGGACCCTATTGTGAACTGCGCATGTAAGGGATCTAGGTTGTGCTCCTTATGAGAATCTAATGCCTGATGATCTGAGGTGGAGCTGAGGCGGTGATGCTAGTGCTGAGGAGTGGCTTCAAATACAGATTAATATTAGCACTGAGGTTTGACTGCACAACCCATGCCAGGTCCCTGGAAAAATTGTCCTCCCTGAAACTGGTCCCTGGGGACTGCTGCCTTAAATGATCTGGAGGAAAAGCTTTTCTTATAGAGAAAATAACAGGTTCAGTGCCCTAAAGTGGGAATGTGCTTACTTTCTTTTTGAAGCAGCTTGGAAGCCAGATTGACTTCAGTGGAGTGAGCAAGGCGAATGTAGTAAGAACTTGTTGGGATGGAAGAGGACAAGTTATAAAGTTGTAGAGTCTTGGAAGCCATTGTGATGATTTGTTTGTTTGTTTGTTTGTTTGTTTGTTTTTCTGAATGAGATTAGAAACCATTGAAGGCACAGGATCATTCTTTCTGCTGTGTTGAATTGAATTATGAAACAAATATTTGTACTCTTTTATCATAACCCTTGTAGACATTCAAACTGTTTCCTTAAAGAAATTAGCTCCTATCTGAGCAGCAGCTTTGAGATTTGAAGCAAAATACTCAGTAATCAAAGAATTTAGTAGTGGAAGATAAAGCCAAACAGGCAGTAAGGGATTTTTACTAACAGTAGTGGTATGATCACACTTTGTTTTTCTCTGTTAAGAGCAGAGGTAGGGTGAATATGCAGTGAGGCAGGAGCAGGAAAACCACTGAGAAGTCTGTTGCAATTAACTAGGCTCAGGATCAGATTGATATGCAATATCTTTGGTAAGTGATCAGATTATAGATTTGCTCACTGTTCAGATGTAGGTTATGAGAGAAGGTATGAGTTATGTTTTCTACATGAAAGTATGCACATATCATTAACTGTGTTGGAGAAAATTGTGGGAGGAGCAGGCTTTGAAGAGCGTATCAAGAGCTCAGTTTCAAAACATGTTAAAATTGAGATGCTTATTAGACATCTGTTCAAGTGGAAATGTTAGCTATTACTGTTGGACATGAGTATGAAGTTAATGTGAGCATTTCAAACTGGAGTTACAGATTTGTGAGTCATTAGCCTAGAATGATAGTTAGATCTCTAGGTAAGTCAACACAATGTAATTCTTCTACTAAACTAAAGTATGTTACTATACTTATATTATTTTAAAGATTAACCAATTCATATAACAGTGTTTCTGTGGGACAACAGTCTTCTAAGCAGTGATGGGAAACTGGGAAGACTCTTCCAATTAGGTGTCAGACTGGAGACTCCTGTCTTCAAACCTATAACCTATGGCACATGATCCAGCAAAGGGTAAGAGATCAGAATGGTGGGGGTTTTGCTATCCCAATCAAATAGTTTGAATGCAAAATTTGTTCAGCCTTTAACTTCCTACCACTTTAACTTTTAATTATACAGTTTTTCTTTGTATTGCTTATATGATAAATGTTACTAAAATGCCAATCTGGAGGGGAAAAAAGTCAACTTGGGTCAATAAGACATACATGGAAGTCAGCTGACTGACTTTCTAGGAAAGGTACATCATTATTGAAAAAGGTTTTCAACATTGTCTTATGAATACATAAGTCTTGGAGTTTGTACAGTCATCTTGAAATCAGAGGGATTATGAATAAGCTGGTCCAAAGGACAACATCTTATATGGTTGAGTCTGCAAATGGTGCAACCACTCTACTGTGATTTCTTATTAAGTAAAATAATAATTTTTCCATTGCTCAAAATTTCATGTTCTGTTACTTGTAGCAAGAATTTTCCTGATATAAAAGGAAAGTTGTCAGAAACAGATTTGGGAACAAACTCAATCACTCCTTGATAAACAAACATCTGATTTGGTGGGAACAGTTGTGCTAGTGCTTACAAGCAACCCATTTCAGGATTTAGGAAATTATTTGTAAGTTTATCTCATATGTATGAGACATTATTTACTGAAGTCTTACCTGTGAACTGGTCTCAATATAAGACCCTGAAATTTGTGAAAGCTTGATTAATGACATGCATTACATTAAGTATAGGAATGATTCTTTGAGTGACTTATACTTATGTCAGGGTTTCGTTGACTTTAGGAACTAAAGAGAGGTATAACAAGATTAGGTAATTATTTGTTAGGATAGTGTTCCTATACTTATTCTCCATTTTTTGTGAAATGACATGGCAATAACAATCTTTGCAATTTTTTATTCTCATAATTTTACATTTTATTGAGGTGTAATTCAGATATTCACCAACTTTAAGTTTGGTGAATTTTGGTAATTGAGCACAGTCAAGACTATTTCAAAAGTCTTCTCATCCTTCCATATGGTATCTCTTCTTACATTCTCAGAAAATAGTAGTTTTGACTACTATTGATAGTATTGATCTGATAGTAGTTTTCACGTTGCTATATAATTGTACAAATGGAATCATAGCAGGTAGACCTTTGAGTTTTTTCACTTAGCACAATGCTTTTGAGACCCATCAGTGTCATTTTGTATATTAATGCCGTGTCCTTTGTTCCTCTTTATTATTGAGTAGTATGCCGTATGCCATATGCCATTGTATGGATATGCTACTTTTTTCATTTATCAGTTGATAGATGTTTGAGCTGTTGCAGTTTTAGAGGCTACTATGAATATAAGACGGCTATGAATATTCACATACAAGATTTTGTGTGGACGCATTTTCATTTCTTTTGGATAAATAGCTAGGAGTGAGATTGATGAGTCATATGTTAAGTGTATATTTAACTATAAAGTTAAATATAAAGTACTGCCAATGTTTCCCAAAGTGGTCATACCATTTTACATCAATGTGTAACTCGTTGCAACTTTAATTTGCATTTCCCTAGTGATATTGTATATTTTTTTAAATTGGCAGTATGCATACCTTATTTTGTGAAGTATGTTTTCAAATATTTTACCCATTTTTTTACTTGGGTTTCTTTTCTTCCTAGCATTGAGTTGTAAGGTTTTATTCTACTTCCAAATATAAGCCATATATTGTGAGTGGTATTTTTTATTTTAATGAAATTCATCAATTTTTGTACTATTCATGTTTTTTGTTTCTTTTTTTTTTTTTTGAGTTGGAGTCTCACTCTGTCACCCAGGCTGGAGAGCAGTGGCACACTCACAGCCATCACAGCCTCAACATGCTGGGACAGGCGATCCTTCCACCTCAGCCTTTCAATTAGCTGGAACTACAGGTGTGCACCACCACACTCAGCTAATTTTTTGATTTATTGTAGAGATGAGGTCTTGCCAAGTTGCCCAGGCTGGTCTTGAACCCATGGACTCAGGCAATCCTCTCACCTCAGCCTCCCAAAATGCTGGGATTATAGGCGTGGGCCACTGCACCTGGCTTTTGTATCCTACATATGAAATCTTTGCCTATCCCAATGTCATAAAGATTTTCTCATGTTTTCTTTCACAAGATAGCAGTTTTTACTATAATATTTATATCTGTGATCCACTTTTAATTAGTTTTTGTGTTTGGTATGTGAAAGGCAAAGTTGGTTATTTTCTTTTCTTTTCTGTTTTTGGTACCAGCATACATCCAATTATACCAGCATCATTTGTTGAAAAACACTATCTTCTTCATTGAATTATCTTGGACGTTTTGTCAAAAATTAGTTGACAACATAAGTGTGGATCTATTTGTAGGCTGCTTTTTTTCATTGACTTTCTATGTCTGTTTTTATACCAGTAGTACACTGTTTTGACTACTGTAGCTGTTTAACTGAATCAATAAAATCCTCCAATCTTTTTTTTTCAGAATTGTTTTTGTTATTCTAGGTATGTTTGACTTACCATATAAATTGTTATATCTGCTTGTCAATTTTTTTTTTTTAGAAAGCTTAGCTAGGCTTTTAATTAGGGTTGTATTGAGTATATATGTCAGTTTGGGGAAAACTGACACCTTAATACTGACTCTGCTATTTCATGAACATGGTATATCTCTATTTAAATCTTTTACATTTTTACACAATATTTTATAGTTTTGGGGGTTTTTTGAGTTGGAGTCTCACTCCGTCACTCAGACTGGAGTGCAGTGGCCACTCCTGGCCACTGCAGCCTTGACCTGCTGAGCTCCAGCAATCCTTCCGCCTCAGTCTTCCAAGTAGCTGGAATAACAGGCACACACTACCACACCCGGCTAATTTTTTGATTTATTGTAGAGATGAGATCTCACCAAGTTGCCCAGGTGGGTCTTGAACCCGCAGGCTCAGGCAATCCACTCACCTCAGCCTCCCAAGGCTTGGGATTACAGGCTGAGCCACCGAGCGCGGCTTATTTTATAGTTTTAATCAAATAAGTCTTGCACATCCTCTGTTAAATTTATTCATAGATAGTCTATTTGTATGCTTTTTAATTCAGTTGTTTTAAAATTTCACTTTCTAATTTTTCTTTGCTGCTATACTGTGTATTTTCTAATGGTTCATTTCTATTGACACATTTTCTATTGACACATTTCTATTGACACATTTTCTGAGTATATTGTTTGATTATTCATTGTTAATTTCTGTTAACCTTTTATGCAGACACATTTCTAAATTCACTTATTATTTCTGTTAGCTTTTTGTGTATTCAGGATTTTCTGTGGATAGTCATGTAATCTGAACAAAGGCAGTTTTATTTCTTCCTTTAGATTAGTTATGTCTTTGATTTCTTTTCATTGACTTATTATATTAGCAAGAACTCCCAGTGAAAGGTTGTATAAAAATAATCAGAATGAATTACCATCTGACTAAAATTATTTAATTTTTCTTTTTTTTTCTTTTCTTTTTTTTTTTTACTTTAGGTGATTGACTTGGGTTCTGGTAAAGGCTACCTAAGCTCCTTCTTGTCATTAAAGTATGGCTTAAAAGTTTATGGAATTGATTCTTCAAATACCAATACTCATGGAGCTGAGAAGAGAAACAGGAAATTGAAGAAACATTGGAAACACTATCTTCCTCAGTCAAGATTAGATGTGAACGGACTGGCATTAAAAATTGCAAAAGAAAAGAAAGTGCAAAGTGAAATTAAATATAAAACAGATATTGAGGAAGTGTGTCACATTAATCTTCCAAGTCAAGAAAAGATGTCTACCTCAGATTTTTTACCTAATTTTTCAGGCTCTGTAATTTCTAACATTCGAAAACAGATGGAAAACCTACACCCTCAGCCACAACAAGAAGAAAATTTGTGTTTTGAAAATGCCTTTTCTCTTGTAGACCTTTTGCCCATTAATGCCATAGAGCCTTCTTCTCCACTGCAAATACCCAGTAGAGGAATGTGTGATCCAAATAAAGAGAGAAGAAAAACGACATCAAGTGAATCAAATGTATATTCACCTTTAACCTTTTTTATCACTGCTGATTCAGAACTACATGAGATTGTTAAAGATCTGGAGGTGATTTCACTTTTGAAATAGTTTGATTTACAAAAATGTTCTAAATCATTGGATTCAATTTTAGTACTAGCTTACTTAACATATGTATTTTTATTGATCATGTTAATCTAAAGGGCCAATAAAATAAATATCATAAGCAGGCTTTCATTATCCCCATACCTATCAAAATCTGATGTGAGCACATGCTAGAACAGAATACCTTTGACACATTTCAGGTCTCTTAAACACAAGTAGTAGCGCAAAAGCTAGGAAGTAAGCCAAGCTCTCACTCTGCAGTTTAAGAATGTTAAAATTCCAATTCAAGAAATTTAAATTTAATTTATATTTGAAGTAAAGAGGTATTTAGAGCAAAATTATGTTTAAAGTTAGACTTGGTGACCAAATATGCTGTTTCCATGGGCAAAAATAGCTTCTATCCGTTCTACAAGGCTTGAACTTTTCCTGAATTACCAAGTATGTCAATTTATGTAATTGAAACAAAGACAACATTGTATGGTTTTTATTGCTGTTTTGTTTTGTTTTTAGATAGGGTATCTCTCTGTTGCCCAAGTTAGTACAATCATGGTTCACTGCAGCCTCAAACTCATTTGCTCAAGTGGCAGTCCTTCTACCTCAGCTTCCCAAATAACTTGGTCTCTACAGGCATGCACCACTATGCCCTGCTAATTTTTTTATTTTTTTATTTTTATTTTTTGTTTGTTTGATTTATTGCAGAGATGAGGTCTCACCAAGTTGCCCAGGCGGGCCTCGAACCCGCGGGCTCAGGTAATCCACTCACCTCAGCCTCCCAAAGCGCAGGATCACAGGCTGAGCCACTGAGCTCAGCTTTATTTTTGTAGAGATGGAGTCTCACTTTATTTCCCAGGCTGATCTCGAACTCCTAACCTCAAGCAATCCTCCTACCTCAGCCTCACAAAGTGTTGGGCATGGGCTCCCATGTCCAGCTTGTGTGATAAAACAATATTGTAGAGGAGCTTCTAGAGGTTATTTGGCCTAATTAATTGTCTCATAAAAAAAGATTGTCTTTGAAGTTATATTAGTCTACTCTTGTACATTTTTAAAAAATAAATTCTTCCCCCCCAAAAAGTATAAATAAAAAAAACCAGAGTTATCTATAAGTTTAAATCCTTGTTTGATAGCTGACACCAATATTTTGCCATTTTTAAATTGAGAAATTTTTCTTTTTTCCTGATGTTTTTGAACTTAAGGGAATCTGGCTAATCCTCATTAATTATTTTTCTTATATATAAAATTAGAAATTAGGCTATCCTAAACTTTCCCCTAGGGTTAAACAACCACCAATTACTTTAAAAATATAAGTAGTGCATATTGTCACTTTTAAATTTTCTCAAAATCTTGCTGATCAAAACTATAAGTAGTAATTTGTGACTCAAGTATTATCTTCAGAACAAATACAATTGTTTTATTTAAATAGTATTTTAAATTATTTTACTAACAATGTCATTTCAGCTCATGGGATTTAGACATAAAGGAGAGCTGAAATTTAAACTTACTAAAGAAAAAAATTTGTACTTGTAATTGGCTTTGACCTGATAGAACACTAAGTTGCTTTGTTGCTTCAACACTATTCTCTTCAAAGCACAGTTTTTGGAAGGTTGCAACTCTTCTGCTTTTCTTGATGATCAGATAGTTTAGATAGGCTTCATTAGGCTGCTATAATATTGCAAATAAAAATGAATTTCTTTAAAATAAAAATTTTTTTTAAATTTGGACTTGAAAGATTTATTGCTAATTAAGGGTAGAACAACAGAGGTATAAATTTCTCTCTTTAATCATAATTTAGCTCTCCCTAAATATAATACAAGAATATTTAATGTCACTGTGTTTATAATGTGGGATTAGTTAATAATTTTAGCAAGTAGCAGCTAGGAAACAAAAATATGTAATTACCATATTATCCTAGTAGTAAAGTATTTAAGTACTATGTGGGGATAGGGAGGGGAATGGGTTAGTTAATTCTGGTTATTAAACTGCTGATTCACTATAGATCCCAAGAAACATTCTTCCAGCAAGTCTTAGTTTAGAGAGTCCTTATAAGAGCTTGCTTATAGTTTTGATCATATACTATTTTGGATGAGTAGTACTTTATTGAATACTTTGAAAGACATGATGATTTAGTTTAAAAAAAAAACCTAAAAGTTAATATATCTGTATTTTAACATACCTATATTCATAGATTTTTACACTAAAAATTTTTGCTGTATCTGGGCTTGAGAATGTCATTCAAATGGTAAAAATATGTGATTCTAATAGGGCACAGATTTTTCTGTATAAAAGTTTCTTTTTACTTCTTTAAGTTCCTGAGTCATGTCAAAGACACAAAGGTATTACATTAAATTCAACTTTACATTTGGTATATTGAATAAGATTCTGTGTGTGTATATGTCTATACCCATTTTGTACTTGTGTGTATATATTTAAATAAGACTTTGGCTAATTAGAACACTTTATATGGTAATTTTTGAATAAAACTTAATACGACTTAGAAGAGAAATTTTTATATTTCATGTTGCCTTATCTGATGCAATTAATAAACTATACTTTTTGGTGTTAGAGGAAAAATACTGACTTTGTACCAGTCATATTGCTTTTTATAACAGTTTTATAAAATTTCTAATGGCGCCGGGCTCGGTGGCTCAGCCTGTAATCCCGCGCCTTTGGGAGGCTGAGGTGAGTGGATTGCCTGAGCCCGCGGGTTCGAGACTCGCCTGGGCAGCGAGATCTCATTTCTACAATAAATAAAAAAATCAGCTGGGCGTGGTAGCGTGCGCCTGTAATTCCGGCTACTTGGAAGGCTGAGGCGGAAGGATCGCCGGAGCCCAGCAGGTCGAGGCTGCGATGGCCGGAAGCGGCCACTGCACTCCAGTCTGGGCGACAGAGTGAGACTCCAACTCAAAAAAAAAAAATTTCTAATGGACAATCTGTGAAGTGAAATCAATAAATAAATTAACTAGTATGATCAAAATTTGAAAAAATGTGTCTCAAATCACAGATTAGTCCTAGTAATACATATTACATTTGATTGGCCAATCTTTATTTTGTGTACTTGTTAAGCAAATATTAATTGCAAATATATATATATATAAATTAATCAACAACTGAAAACATTGAAAAAAACTTAAAAGTTGTATTAAGAGACTACATTTTGCATATAAAGGAAATAAGTATTTATTTTTAAAAAACACAATACTTTCTAAGTAGAATTTGATAATTATGAAAACCTTTACATATTCTGATGGACATTTAAAATCTTTACCTGCTGCTGGGAGCAGGTAAAGTAGTGCGAGGAGGCCTGTAGTCCTTGCTGTTCCAGAGACTGAGGCTAGAGGGTTGCTGGAAGCTAGTAATTTGAGTCTGTAGCATTCTATGATTGTGCGTGGGAATAGTCAATGCACTTTAGCCTGGGCAACATAGATCCTGTCACTAAGAAGAAAAATTAAAAAGTAAATAAATTTTAAAATAAAAGCCTTTACCTGAATTGTTGTTTAACTTTCCTTTTAGTTGCCAAAATTTACTTTTCTTCTTGTCTTTAAAGGATTGTTTAATGGTAGGTCTACACACTTGTGGTGATCTTGCTCCAAATACTCTGAGAATATTTACTTCCAAGGCTGAAATTAAGGGAGTTTGCAGTGTGGGTTGTTGCTACCACCTCTTATCTGAAGAATTTGAAAACCAGCATAAAGGTACAAAGTTCCTCTTGTGTCATACGTTTACTTATTTGAGCATAATGACTGTTTTCTATCTCTCCCTCTTTTTTTTGTTTGCAATTATTGAGAAATTAACATTTAAGATAGCATCTGATTTTCCTGTGATTTTGATGTTACAATATTATTGAAATTTGCACTATCACCTGTGTATTTTACTAGAGTTTCTTTGGTCATAATAGTCTTAATGATTACTGAAAGCTTTGCAAATATTTATACGTTTTAAGTGATGTCTACTTTAGAGAACTTCTATTTAAAAATACATGTGGGATATACATTTACTGAGATAGTAAAGCCAGTTTATTTATTTGTCATGAATACAGAATTTCAAAGTTTACTTTCATTTCCAAAACCCTTTTCATTTCTGAAGGAATATTGAGATTTGTAAAAATAAATAAATAAAAATTGTTTTACTGTATTTTGAGGAGTCAGCACACTGGCATTTTAGAAGACTGCAAAATTGTGTGATTGCATTAAAATAATAAATTCAAACTATGCTACCAGGACCCAGAAGGTATCTGAGGAACCAAGTACAGAGTAGATGGCAGGATTTCACAACCCTTTACCCAGAGCAGCTCCAATACCTCTGTTTGATCCATTTAACATAAGTTATTATTTCAGAATTGCTGATTCAGATGAGATGGTTGTTTAGCCTATTAATATTAGTGGTTCTTTTTAATACTGGTTTAATGACATCTTTACCAGTATCCAGCATTCTTTACTAGTAATTTTAGGTCAGGAATTTTTAGGTTACCATCATTTTGTGTGCATAAGGATGGTACTGTTTGATCTTTTCTCACTTTTGAAACCCAGTTGAATATAACACTTTGATTACTTTATATTTAGTCATGTCCAGGAGATAATTCTACTGAAATGAGACAAGTTGAAACAGATTTGGAACTGGTGAAGATTTTTATGAAATTGAGTTAATCAAATTAGAATAAATTGGTGTCAGCATTTCGAAAATTTTATTTTAGGAAAGGTGCATAATAATGAAATTATGAATATATATATATAGAGAGAGACAGAGTGAGAGAAATAAAGCAAATTGGCAAATAACTAATTAGTCTAATTTTGATGGAGAATACATATTTTTCATGCCATTATTACCAAACTTATTTTCTCTAAGTACAGAAGTTTTCAAAATAAAAATTAGGTGGAAAAAGTGAACCTAAAAATAGAAAAATTGGTTTTTTTACTAAATCGTATACCAAAATATTTACATCATTTTACAGTATTTTTGTATATCTTTCTGCAAATAAATTAAAAAATAAAACTTTAATGCAATCACAGTTCTACAACTTTTTAAATGTTTGATGTATATATTTCCCTTAATCATCAATAGCATAAAATTCTATGCAGGGAAGCATTGTCTTTTGAAGTTTATTATTTGGCTCTTAGTTCACGAGTTTCTTGTTCTGTAGGTACAATAAAATTCAGTGTAATAATTGGTTTAGTTTGGAGGCAGGTGTGTGTCTTTAAATTCAGAGATACTACCCTTCATTGTAAGATTTTAAATTTCAGCTTCCTGCTTCCTTCTTTCACTTTATCATCATTGCCCCCAAGACTACCTTCTCATTTCAGAGTGCCTCCTGCTCCTCTTCAGTGCACTGTGGCAGCCATTACACTGTATCATCCAGTCTCAGACATAGCCTCAGTACTTCCCCACCAAGGATGGGATTCTCTTTTTTGTCAGTGCAGTCTACTCGTTATCACACCCTTTTATCCACACTCCCACCTTTTTCTTCCTCTGGAGTGATCCTGAGACTTCATTCTGCTAGTTTAAGATATTTATTACCTAACATTTAAATCAGAGTTTGTTGTGTAGGTGTGGGTTGTGAGTACTTTTATCTCTCTTTTGTCTGGTTTTTGTCAAATATGAAAAAAAATTCAGATTTAGGTGACTGTTTATTGTTTTATGGCAATCAGGAAGGTACATTTTGTTGGGAGCCAGCCACGGAGGCCCACTGAGCATTAGGGATCAGGAAGGGCTGTTGACCCCGTGACCACTATGATGCGTTCAGGAGCTATTGACCCCATTTCCTCCCCCTTTCTACTCAGCACTAACCAGATTAAGCTCCTGTGAGCTCAAAACATAAAAACTCTGAGATAGGGACGAGTACAAGCTAACTTTAGAAGCTCATTGCTCCCATTCTTCCACATTCTTCCCCATTCTGCAGTTTTGGCTTTCATACAACTTATAATTCAAACTCGTGTCACATCTAAGAGCCTTAGTATTGGTCACAGGCTTCTGGGTCATGATCTTAGGATTTATTGAAAGTGTAAATTGTAGAATATAGTTTTAGAAGACAGCCATTTTGTTGAAAGAATGCGGCTGGGTTACTTGCAGGTAGCCCACTGTGAACTTCGGACTGGGCCACATTCCAAACATTCTGGGATGGGCCACTTTCGTTTGTAAAGTAAATACTTAAACTTCTATAGAATTGTTTAACTTGGCATAAATCAATCAGCTTAGGATGAAAAAGGTTTATAGAATATGTCAGTCACGGATTAGGTTATCCTTTGTTATGGGATTTTAAGATTATCATATGAAAAGGGTTTAAAGGTAATCATTGATTAAGTTTTCATGGATTAAGGTTTCTGGTGGGTGGGGGACGCCCCTCCCACATCTGACTTTGTGTATAAAAGACCCGTTGTAATTCCCAATAACACACATTGCTTCTGCACTAGACTAGAGTCCAGTCTCTTTCTTTCTCTCTTCTTCCCCCCAATCGCCGACGTCCTCTCCACCTTTGGGGTACCCTGAACCTGGCTGGAGCTGGTCTCCAGCACATTTTTCATTTGATGTCTGGTTCTTCAATCCTATTCTTAAAAGGATTGGCAAAAGCTGCTTGCCAATTTTTTAAAAAATTAAGAGATTGACTAGTTACTCCTTTGACAATCCATTTTATACCAGTCTTCTGGTACCTTTTCTAGTAGATTATTATATTACTCTGTTAAAAAACATTCATTGACCATGTATTATAACTAAACTGAATTTGAATAGGGCATGTTAGATAAAGAGGCTTTGAAAAACCCAAAGGAAGAAGGAAGATTGGTACACCCATGTATTCCATTGCTCTTATATCTTTTCTGCCAAAGAAAGATTTGGTCAATTGATGAGCCTTGAGAGTATAGACACTGGCTTTTATTCACTTTTGTGTCTTTATGACCAAACACATGCACATTGACTCAAACATGATTGATGTAGGTGAATGTTTGTATGTGTTTTGAAAACAAGTGACTAGGAATAGAAAAAAGTCACTGTTTTTCTGCCTGGGCAGCTGCATTTCACACAGTTAAGAGTATAAGATTGTGCTGAATAAACATTTAGTGAGCAGCTACTATTTTCAAAGCATTGTGCTTGAAGAACTTATATATAATATCAAAAATGGGGGAGAGGCTCATAAAAAGTCATTATGTAGGGAAAGAGATATGAAACTCAATATATTACAAGCAAGATGCAGTTTCACAAATATTCATCAAATGCCCAAATATTTAGCTGTATGCTGAATGGTAGGGATACAAAATTGTATGAGATATCCTCTTCACCTCAAATTACTTTTGTTTTAAACTCTCAGTCATAGAAACGTGATAATCATTGTTAGCAATTTACAAGACTTTTTTTTTTAGAGAAAAGTCAAACAACATAGAATAAAATATAAAGTAAATCCCCAAACTCATATTTTTGGGTTTTTATTAATCTTTTCAAAAAATTACATACATCCTATACTCTTGAATGGCTTAGGGAAACAAATATATAAATTGTTCATTACTTTTTTCATATAATATATTTTGTTAATCTTTTCATATCAACACGGCATGTTGCTTTAGTTTTTTTTTTTTAATGACTGCAAAGTATTTTATATACCATATTTTGTTTATTCAGTTCTAAGTAGTTAATATTTGCTTAAAGCAGTGGTATTCTTTTTTTGATAAACCAAATTTTAATGAACAGATGATTGATTAAATATAGAACTTAAAAGCACAAAATATGTGTCCATCTTTGTTTTCTTATCCTCAAACATTGGTCTCAAAATAGTGTAAGTAGTAAATGCTATAAGACATGATGGTATATCTGTTATCTTAGAGCACAGTAGCATGTATCTCACAGTCTATGAGGAAATGAGAGTATTTTTCAGTGTGGTAATGTCCACTGTACCTTGAAAGATCAGTAGAAGTTAATTAGACATAGAAATTGGAAGGATATTACAGGTAGAGTAAACAAAGTTATGGGGTAATAGATGTATAAAATCAAGTTTTCTTAGTTTGATTTTCATAGTCACCTTTTCTCTTTGTAACTATCTTTTCTCCCATTTTGTTCTCCTTATATCTTTCTCAGAAATAATGATAATGGTAATCCCAATGTTCATTTCAACAGGTAGAAAGCTACAATTTTATGGTGAATAAGGTCTTCTTTCTCATTTCAGTTTACTTCATAACCTATTTCCACAAAATCTCTTTTTGGTCACTTAGTCTTTAATACTTAGTCTTTAACACTTTGGTCTTTAATACTTAGTCATTCTTAAAATGATCTTTAAGTCTTCTGGGGAAATCAGTTAAATAAAATGCTCCAATTTTTTGCTCACTAGAAATAGATACTTCTCCGTTAACAGATCTGAAGCATTGGTCTTGGATCTTACCCGAGTAAAGCAATTTCACCTTCTTTTGTCTAGTAAGGTAGTTTCACCTTCTCTTCTCTAGTAAGTTCTGCTGTTCAACATGGATTGGTAGGATATTTTTGACCCCAGGATTCATACGAGAAAAAGTATTAGAAAGGTTTTACAGAACAGTGACTAGCAACTATAAACTCATTTTCCCTTCCTATAGGCATAATCCATTGGAATGGCTTTCCTGTCAAAAATATCTTATTCCTTGAGAATCACTGATGTTATCAGGTAAACAATACCAGGCTTCAGTGGGGAGAAGTAATAGTAATATCTTTACATTACTTACTTTCTTGATACATACTTGAAATG